AAAAAAGACAGATCAATAGGCAGTTTTTTTCTGATATCAAAATACAACAATATGCAGCAATTCAAAGCTTAAAAATATTAAAGACATAGTGGTAAGTTAAATTATTGAAGCAGGATAGCATACAGTAAGTGCTATTTGATGATGGCACTAAACCAAGAACTGGCAAGTTTGAGGGATCCTTACAGTATTGACAACATGTTTGACTTTCAGTCAAAATAAAATATTGCAACTGACTTTTTTTCCCCATGTCTCTACCTCTTCAGAGCAGAAAATATATAAAATGCATGGCCTAAGGAGGGTTCTGCTTTCAATGTTCCTGACTTTCAGTAAACAGTTTTGGATTTGTTTCTTTTTGTAAGCACAACTTAATGACATACAGAGGAAATCTGACACTCTATAAGTTTGTCACAGCAGAGGCGGATGTTGCTATCTTGCTTACTCTATAGGGATCTTTATGAACCTTTTATTAATATTCATGCTATTTCCATATAGAAAATACATCCAGCAAAATAATCTCCAGGTATGGTACTAGGTGCAAATTTTATGTCCCACGGCAGCGGTGAGGGTGACCTTCAGGGGGGAAAAAAAAGGCCTTTTGCATTTCCTGTCTGCTTTCTGCTATGCAGATCTGAAATTGAACTTGGAAGACACAATTGAAGAAGAGAAATAAATAAATAAATAAAGGCTTCCTTTTTGTGCCTCCAAAAGTGAACAGAAAGTAGTCTGTCCTTCTGTTTTGTTTTAATGCTGGGCACGTGATCCATCAGCAGTCGTTGGGCAGTTTTTCCTTCATAGCCTCATTCAACCGTGTCTCTCTGACCTTGGCTTTCGCAAAATCTGACTTCATCTGACACTTTTTGACAACACAAGGTGATCACTGAATCGGCTCTCGGTGACAGGAAGTGATTCACTCAAAGTGGCCATAATAAGCCCAAGGAACCCACTTTGCCTGCTCATGAGAGCTCTGATTCGCCATCTTTGAGGCTTCACGAGGAGGCAGCTGGAGAGGATGCCACTGCTGTTGGTTCTGCCTCAGCATCAGGGTCTTCTGTCCCTGTGGCAGAAAGGTAAAGACACTGAGAGGTATGACCACTCATCAGCTGTCACAGCACCATAGCTCAGTGAATCAAGTTGGCGTGCTGTTGATTTTGGTTTTCGTTAGTAAGCCAGACAGCACAGTGCAGTGGGAGGGGAGTGAGTGAAGTGAGGAAGTTTGGCTTAATCTTTTGGGAGAGGGCAGGGCTGACCTCTGGAGATGGGGCAGAGCAGGCAGCCCTGGACCATAGCTCTTTCGGTTGCCACCCTGTGACTCACCAGAGCTTGCCTGAAGCTCCCCCAGCAGCACCATTAAACTGGCAGCAGGCAGTAGGGAATAAAGTAGGCTCCAGTGGTGACAACATGAAAGTGGTTCTTAATGAGACGTGAAGGCACTAAAGAAAATTCAGACCCGAAGGGTAGCCAGGAGAGAAAGAGACCTCAGTAAGTTATACCCACCCCAAAATGAGCTGCTAATCACTGGTGCTATTGTGAGGACTACAATAAATCAGTGTCTGCCCTGGCCGCCTGCATCTCATTACGCACAAACATGCGGATAGAGAATGTCAGCCTCAATAGCGATCTGTCATGTGAATGCTGCCGTGTCCGAGTGGGCTGGCACTCGCATGGTTAGCCAGCTTTGTATTTCCTTTATTTCTTTTTTTTTTTGTGGGTGATATCTATTTTCTTTTGGAAATGTTGATTTGCTCCATACTGTGGGTAGTAAATTTGCCCTTTTCTTCAATGATTTATGAATTATGTGATGATAACATTGTATTTAAGGTGTGGGGGTAAAATATCTTTCATATATGTCATATTTAGTGATTGGGGGTTTGTTTGGGTTTGTTTGGGTTTTTTTTCCTAAGTCCTCCTCCATGTATGGTGTCACGCGTATTACTGAAGCTAGGGCAACACCTACGTGTATTTATGCAGCTGATATATAGTGCCGATTACTCAAGTGTCACAGACTGCCTCTGAAAGGCTAATTAATTTAAGCCCTGCAGCACCCCTTTGAGGCAACCTTTGTTAGTCCTGATAGATGCACACATTGTAGCTGCTCTTTGTTATTTATTTTTAATACCATTTTTATCCCAGAGAGAGGGAGAAATGAATAGTTCTTACTTTGTTAGGTAATTGACAAAATGTTAGGCTTTAGATATTGTTGAAATAAAACTTTGGATTTTATTGCAAGTCATGCCTTGGAGGTTCTTGTTTTCTTTTAAACCCTCAGCTCCTGGAGCCAGGTGAAACTGTAGAAGTCTTTTTGGTTTTAAATGTCTGTTTCTAGTTCATGTGGTTGCAAAATAAATTTTAATGTATTGCCTCTGCTTAATCTAAAATATCGGATACAGTGAGGCAGGTAAATAAGTTGTTAGCTAAGTCTGTGGGTTTGTTTCTTTTTAGTCTTAAAATTTTTGCATGATTAGGACTGAGAATACCAATGACAGAGTGTGTGTGCAGGTCAAAAGAGAGTTGGTTTTGTGTTCATGTTTTAATTTCAGAGCTCCTCAGTCCCATATATATCCCTATATCAACTAGGTAAAACAAGGGCAACCATCTCCTCCTTCACTCTCCATATGCAAACTGAAGATGTTTTGAACATCAACTCACACTTTTTTTTTGTCTATGCTCAGTCTTAAATCTACTAAAGAAGGATTCAACATATCTTCTAGAAATGCTTTATCGTCCTTTGTCCTTACTCTCCTTTTTATGCTTGGCCCTGTTCCTTCACTTCCTTTGTCAACACAAAACTCAGTTCCCCTGTCGTTCTCTCTTACCCTTCCCACATCCACTTCCAGTGCTAGCTCTCTCGATACCTCACATCTTAAGGAGTGATGAGGACTACCAAAGTGGCTGGTTTGAGCTAGAGTCGAACTGCAGGCAACGCAGTCCTGATGTGTCACTCCATCCTACAGGAAACTCTTAGTTCCTTAGTATTTTTCTGGGGAGCAGGTGTCCCCTACTGCCTAGGGCATAATTTCACAATTACTTTAGGCCAATCTGAGATCATACTGTCACCCAAACAGGCAGTTACCCTTTTCTAGTATCTGCTCCTATCATCTCTTTTCAAGTAGCTGTCTAATATGGCAGATTCCATTTTTTTTTTAAAACCATAGGTTGAGGAGCCTAATCTGATTTGCAGCACAATCCCATGGGTGCTAGTGCTTAAGCCATGGGAAGCATCTGACCAAAAGCAGGGAAAGTGTGTGACCACTGGTTTTTGTGGTAGTACAGTCTCTAACTGACTTAAATTATCATTTAATGACAACTGTAGTTTCAACGTCTTGCTGAAAAAGGTCATCCTGAATCTGACGACTGCTTACTCCCATGCTGTTACTTTCTGATCTGTGCTAGCACAAGCTGTCATGCAGCTGTGGTGAACCAGTCTACTAACCTGAGCCAACTGGGGAAAGGTGGCATCTCATTTTGTCCATGTGGTTTTATTAGGCAATTTTTGGCCTAAATGGCCTAAATTCAGACGACACCAAACTGACTGGTGCAGTCAACGTGCCAGAGGAACGTGATATTATCCAGAGGGACCTGGGCAAGCTGGAGAAGTGGGCCTGCATGAACCTTATGGGGTTCAACAAGGCCAAGTTGCAAGGTCCTGCACCTGGGCGGGGCAATCCTCATTATCAGTACAGGCTAGAGAATTATGTGATAGAGAGCAGCCCTAAGGAGAAGTACCTGGGGGTACTGGTGGGTGATAAGCTGGACATGAAGCAACACTGTGCTCTTGCAACCCAGAAGGCCAACCACATCCTGGGCTGCATCAAAAGAAGTGTGGCCAGCAGGTTGAGGGGAGGTGATTCTGCCCCTCTGCTCTGCTCTGGTGAGACCTCACCTGGAGTATTGCATCCAGTTCTGGGGCCCTCAGCACAAGAAGGACATGGAAGTGTTGGAGCAGGTCTAGAGGAGGGCCACAAAAATGATCAGAGGGCTGGAGCACCTCCCCTGTAAGTACAAGCTGAGAGAGTTGGAGCTGTTCAGCTTGGAGAAGAGAAGGCTGCGGGGAGACCTTACAGCAGCATTCCAGTACCTGAGGGAAGCTTACAAGGAAGCTGGGGAGGGACTGTTTACAAGGGCATGTAGTGATAGGACAAGGGGTAATGGTTTTGAAGTAGAGCAGGGTCGATCTAGATTAGGGATAACAAAGAAGTTCTTCACCATGAGGGTGGTGAAACACTGGAACAGGTTGCCCAGTGAGGTGGTAGAGGCCCCATCCCTAGAGACATTCAAGGTCAGGCTTGATGCGACTCTGAGCAATCTGATCTAGTTAAAGATGTCCCTGCTCACTGCAGGGAGGTTGGACTGGATGACCTTTAAAGATCCCTTCCAACACAATGCATTCTGTGATTCTATGATTCTAAATCGTGCTCCCCATTAAACAAAAAAGTGGCCCACTCTTAGCCCAGCTTTCAATCCATTCTTTTCACAGTGTTTATAAATCCGCCACTCTCTTATTTAAAAGCAGTGAAAGCTGTTGTAGCTTGCTGCTGCTTAGGGTGAACTGGGCAATGTTCCAGCGCTCTCCAAGCCACGAGGCAGCTTTGTGCATCTGCTTATTTCTGCTCAGATTTGCACTCAGCTGCTACCTAGAAACTTCACAAGCTCTAAGTCTAACAGTGCTTTAAACAGTATGCAATTCAGCATGTGTCCCGGATGAGCCAGGTTGCAGACACACATGGGTTGGACCAAAAAGAAATTTGAGATGGTCGTGAATTCATCTGCTGTGTGAATACAGGCTTGACAGGTTTTCCCCCTTCCAGGAATGTGACTATTTTAAAGCCCTTCAGGGGCTGCAGTGGCATATCTTTCCCAAAAGTGACAGTTTGTATTCCTTTTTCAGGGCAACTTGTATCATAATTTTAAAACTGAACGTAATTTAGACAAAAACTTTAATGATTTTGTTTGTTTGTTTAGTTGGATATGAAAACCACCTCTCCTTTCTTCTGTTTCGGCAGTTAAATATTCTGGTTGACACTGGGAGCAGTAATTTTGCTGTAGCAGGTGTGCCTGATCCTGATGTCACCTCCTACTTCAATACTGAGCTGTAAGTACCTGTTCTGCACACCATGATGGGTTAGTGTGTCTTTTAGATTCTGGATCCTCCATGCAAAAGCAGATGATAAGGCAGTTTGTGGGGCTCCTGTGACATCCCATCGGAGCAGGACGTTTGTTGCCTGAATGGGAAGATTGGCCTTGCCTGATGCAAAGCCCTGCCTGACACCACGAACAATGCCAATGATGGCAGCGCAGCTGAGCTCTGAGCACGGTGCTGATGAGGGCTGGAGAAAAGGGAAGGAGATCACAGGGTAAAAACTGTTTGCAAAATCACACCAATTTCAGTCAATTTCTTATCCAAATAGTATTGGAAGGAATTAAAAGTTTAAATATACTTTCCCTTTGTTTAAAAACAAAAATTAAACCCAGTAATTGTATATGTTACTTGACATTTCATCCAAAACCAAAATCAGTTACTCAAAAACTAATTTGTTGTTTATTTTGGCCAAGGGCCTCGATCAGTTAGTGATCTGGACAGACCCTGCACTGAATCTGGTTGTTTATAAGATACAACTTGGTGGCTTATAAGATACGACTTGATGGTTTTGCTGCTTGTTATGCACTGAATTTGCTGTCTTTAGCATGAGCTGACATTAGTCACAGCCAAACACAGTTTTGTCTGTCTGAATCACTCTCTCTGCTTTCTTCCTTCCTTTCTACCCTTCTCTAGTTCCAATTATTTCAGGTAAACTTCTGCAAAACACAGTGTCTATCTTTAGCTGAAGCACATGGATAAAAATACTTAGAGGGCTGGGAGGCTGGAGAATATCGCCATTCTTATTACCTGTTTATGTATTTTAATACGGGGTTTTGCACTTTTTTTCCAATAAGATGCACCGGTAATGGAGAGAAGGCCATTATTTCCATGATGCTTACTAGAACAGCCTTACCTCCTGTTACATATTCAGATGTTAATGGAGATATTTCACATTTCACTCTGATATGATGCAGGTGTGGAAAGTCCAGAATTTGCATTTGAAAGCTGTTGCTGCACTACTGCAGAGTTTTACATGCCAGCTATCCCCTCCCATAGGTAGTGACTAGAGGAAACTTAATTGCAAAGAATTAAAAGTACAAGCATTCCTTCTCCCTCTTCTCTTAAGTGATAGTATTTTGGCTGGAGGGGCAAGGCCTCTCTCATAAGAACCATAAACCGTAAGAAAGAGCAACAGTGGCAGAGGTTGTGTGTTGAGAAAGGCTGTGACATCACTTGAAGGTCACAGTCTCTTTATCAGTGTTTTCAGTGTATGCTGTGTTTCGAGAACTTTGATATAAAGTTAATAATGAAACCTTGAAATTTAGGCCCTGAAGAGTTAAGAGTGCTTTGTAAAATTATTCTAACTCAACTCATGATAGTCCAGAGCAATTGCAATAGCAATTTCTGGTTTGGATTGGATTGATGGAGTACTGCAATATGCTCAGAATAAAGTGCAACTATTAGCATGCTTGAATCTGGCTACACTATGCTTCTTCCACTTCAAATACTTTAAATACTTTTAAATAAATGTCATCTGGGAAGGATCCTGGCCCCACTGAAATCAGTTAATGTTTCAAAAATGTTGGTTGCAAGGAACCTCTGTAGGTCACCTCGTACATATCCCAGATGAGACAGGGCTGTCACCAGATCAGGTCAGCCGTGACTAAGTCCAGCCAAGTCCTGTAAACCTCTGAGAACGAAGAATCCAGGGCACTGTGTTTCAGTGCTGTGCCACTCTCCTGTTGAGGAAATACTGCCTACTGTCCAACCCGAACCTCACAAAATGTAACTCATGGGTGTTGCCCCTTACATTATTATCTGGCACTGCAGAGAAAGGATTGGCTGTGTCATCTTTGTCTTTCAAGTTGTTGTAAGCTGATGTGACATCTCCCTTTAGCTTCTTGTCTGCAAAGCTGAAGCCCAGCCCCATTCAGCTTCTTGTCACAAATCCTCTGTTTGTGGATCCTGTCCTATGTGGTAGCGCTCTGCCAGTCCCTCTTTTCTGTCTCCAGTCCCTTGTTGAATTGGGTTCCCACAGCTGACCACAGTCTATTCCAGGTGGGGTCTCACCAGTGAGGCTGACCAGAGGGTGAGCATTCCTTGGATGTGTTGTCCATGGCCCTCCAAATGTGGCCTGGTGTTGAGTTTGCTGTATGCACAGGGCAGGTATGCTGCTGGCTCTTATTCAGCCTGGTGTCCACCATCACCCCAAGCCGTTTTGAGTCCTTTTCAACTGCTTCCCAGTCTGTCCTGATGCATCGAGTTGTTTCAGCCACAAAACTTTGTGCGTTTCCTCACTGATTACCATGAGGTTTCTGTTGACTTAATCTTCTTGTTTTTCAAGTTTCCTTTTGATCCAAGCTCTGCCATTCAGCATGTCAACTGTTCCCCTTAGTGTACTGTCCTGTGAAAATCTTCTGAGTGTGCAGCCTGTCCACTGTGTAGGTTCTTGATGAAAATGTTGAACAATTTTTCCACAACTCACAACCCCTGGGGCACTATGCTTGTCACAAGCCTGATGTTGAGCCAGTGGTTGCTGCCTTTTGGGCCCAGTGGCTTTCAACCCACACAGTGTTCTGTTTATTCAGCCCCACATCCTCAGCTTCCAAATAGGAACGCTATGTGAGATGGTGTCAAAAGCCTGACTGAAATCAAGATGTGCTACAGCCAGTCTGCATAGCCAGTCTTCTTCTTGTAGAAGGCAATGAGGTTGGTCAGGTATGACGTGTCTGTGAAATTTCTCTCTCAGTGTCCATCATTACCTTCTTGTACTTCATGTGCTTGGGAACGGATTACAGGAGGATCCTCCTGAGACTTTTCCTGACTTGAGGTGAATCCCAGTGACATATAGTTCCCTGGGTCCTGCTGCTCATCTCTTTTCAGACTGGCCTTATGATAGTCTTTTCCCAGTAGTCAGATTACCTTACATGGTTGTCATGATTTTGCATAGATGGTAGGCATGGACCTTTATCACTTCAGCCAGATCTCTAAAATTACCTAAAAGTGACCTGTGTAGGTGAGACCAATGACCTATGGATACTTTTTTCCCACACTATGTGGAATACTTCAAAATTAGATGAAGAGGTTTTCTCTCATTTGGTAATCATTCCTGTAGTTTTTCCCTATGTTGTCATGAAGTGCTTCCATATCAAAGTCATAAACTAAAAGTTGAGGACAAGGGGAAAGCAGGATTAGTAATTTGTTAAATTAATGGGACTGTGTTATACATGTGTGCTTATTAGAATATGAATATTGTGCTGGAGAAAGAGGATGATGGGTCTGAATTTCCCAATTGCCAAGCTCTCAGTTTAGTTTTATTCAAATTATCAAAATCTGAAATTAAAATGCATGACTGTTTTTTGACTGAAATTGGGGAAGATGCATGTGAGAGGCATTATCTTTGTTTCAAAGGACCCAGAGGATGTGTTGTTCAGGAATAGACTTCTTTGAGCAATTTTAGAACTAGACTGTTCGATGATGTTGTATATCATGTAATTCATGTCATATAATTCTACTGTTAATTATCTTGATCTTTCTGTACAGAATGAATAAAGCTGTTATCATGAACTCTTTCAAAACTTGGGCTTCTGAATGGCTCTGACAAAACTTTGCTGTGAAAAGTTCTGAGTCTGCTTTGACGATCATGCTGTATAAGTTGCTGTGAAGTATAAGGTTTTGGGAAATGGCCTAATTTGTCCTGAACTGAAAAGAAATCACAGCGTTTGTTTCTTGTACTGTTCAAAATAACAAGTAGTTTTTGTTGAGTATGCTACTTATGATAAAAGAGCTACTTAAACAGATGTAGAAAGGGATTTTTACACTTGAAACTAAATTATTGGTGATGGCTCTGTAGTGATATGTGAAAGAGTAACTTACTCAGGGCTGTCAGTATTCAGCAACACTATTCAGTTTTATTTCAGTGTGAGTGGTACTGCTTCACCATCTAAAATTTCATGAGCAAACTGTTCAGGAGTTGAACATTCCAAGAGATAGGGAGGTAAGAAAATAATTTGCTAGAAATGAAGGTAATACAGTAAAGTATATACTAGCAAGCATAAGTACGCTGCTGCTTTGCAGTATGACCCTGTGAATTTGGTTATGTGTTATACAGCTTATAGTTTAAGGTAAATTATAAACTTGTTCCAGAACTCCTGCAAATTAGCTAGGACTTCTTGGTTGAAAATCAATAGTTTATGTTGGGTTTTCATGTTGGCTTTGTCTTAAAAGTCATTGGCCCTGAATCACATATCTTGTTCCATCTATCACTATAGAGGTGATCAAAACATCTGTTAAGATTTTTTTTCCTCATTGCTGTTTTCTTTCCCTTCTTTGCCATTACTGTATGTGCAGACATTGATTTGATGTTTAGGAAGAAATGAGTGGATAAGCAGAACAGCAAGAAAGCATGGAATTAAGAAGTAATTGCATGTGTTTGGTGAGGTTGGTGTTAAGCAGGGTTTTCTGTGTTGCTATGTTGAGCTTCCTTCAAATGAAGTATGACATGAGAAATAACCTTTTGGTTATGTTTTGTTCAGTGCTATATGCTGGCAATGAGGAGTTACTCTGCATGAGAAAATTAACCTATTGCTAGTTTTCTCAGCGGAGGCTTGAGATTCATTCAAGGTTTGAGGACCGTGGTTTTGTTGGCTGCTTTGAGAGAAGATACTAACCAGGAAGAAGAGGGAGAAGGGTGTAGCACTGTAGGAGTGTAGCACTACAGCACTGTAATCTAGGAAGCCTTTTTCCTTGCCTCTGGCTAAGATACACTCTGTCCTGCTGGAAGATTTTAATTTCTTATTTTCTCATCACAGCCAGAACAGCTTGTTTGTTTTTTTTTTTGTGCCGTGTGTTTAAAACTCAGCCCATGAATAAGAACAAGTTTAGTTTTGACCTCTAAAGAAGTCTTCTTCCTCTAGATCAGTGAGGTGGAAAAACACAGGCTGATTACAGTCAAGAAGATGGAGCAGGAAGAGTTCTTTTTCAGAGCCGAATATAATTACTGCCACAAGGATCGTGTGAGATCCCTTCCCACACTAGGTATTTTGCTCCTTGAAGGAAATAATGAGGCCTTATCTTCAATATGATATCTGTGTGCTTTACGAATGAGACAAGTATCCTCGTGCCCTTTTCCACAGGTGGGGAAGCTGAGGCACAGAGAGCAAGGAAGTGACTTGTCCTGCCTTTCCACAGGAAAGTTCACCAGCTATGCTGGAAAATGAACCCAGTCTTTCTGTGTCCTGGCCCACAGCTTAGTCCATCAGACTGTTACTGCTTACAGAAGAGCTATGTGCTGCTGCTGCTGCTAGTCATGCAGCATTGGTATTCGCAGATTTGCTTCGCTTTATTCTCCCCACGCTCGCTTTTCTCTCCAATTTCAGATGTTTCCTCTTCTGTTGCACAGTCAGACACTTTTCTACGTGAATAGCCCTGTATTTGCCTTCCCTTTTCCTGCTCCCCCAGTTTCTCTTATGTCACAGATTATTCAGACTCTATTTTGATTTATAAAATGTACTGCTAGTATCACAGTGGTGCTCTGAAGACCCTGCCTGAGCAGAGATGTCCCTTTGTCTAAATGTCATATGAATGCAGAATTGCACAGAAAGGTAAAATGGCAGTCGCACTGACCAGATACAGGTAGTAACTGTATCTCTGGAATTCATTGTTTTGAAATATAATCTGTGGGGCCTGTTACCTCATTTATTTCTGCTACCTTGGATGTTAAAAGCTATTGGGCTGTGAAGACTCCTGAAGGGTTAGGTGTTGGGAGTATCAAGAACTGCTTAAGGTTAGAGCCTGGCCTCGTATTGCTCCCTGCCCTCTCTTAGCTAAGAAGAGGATCAGTTGCACCGTCCATGTGGCCAAATTGTCCCTCGAGATAAAGTGTCTGCTCACATGAGTGGGAGTTGTCTGCGTTGTCATCTGAAGGCTGTTCCCCATAACAGGCAAAACCACACTGACTTCATTCTGGTGAGCTTAGGTACAGGGAGCTCTGAAAGTCGCTTCATGTGGCTGTCAGAGCACCTGTTAGATTAAAGCTAGATTGATAAAACTGACCACACTTGATAAATCACCTGTGCTTTCTATGGTTTTGCGCACATGCAAAGGTGATGTTATGAACTTATTTTACACTTTTTATTTATTTACTTTTTAAAAAGCCATCGAACTAGAAGTCTGTTTGGATGAACTGAGCACGGTCATCTGCCCCTTCAGAAGGGGAAGCCGCATGCCAAGGAATGGGACCACAATAGATTGTAAGGAATTTAGGAGTCTCATAGCTCTCCAGTAGTGATGAGAGTGGAAGATGGTTACTATGTTTATGCTACAAGATTTTAAAATGAAAAAAATCTATTGATGAGAAAAAAACATGTTTTTATTAAGCCTTCTAAACAAGAAGGCTTTCTTTGCTTGCCGTATTTAACTGCTCCTTCGCCTTTGTTGCCCTGGTCTAGAAGGAGCTCCTTTCCATTGCTCCTCCAAGTCAGTGAATAATTTGTTAACAACGTTCAAAATCTACTTTCTTCCCAATAAATAGACCAAACTGCAGATTTAGAAAACCTGTGTGTTACTGCTGAGACTCTCAATAATATTCTGATTTACCCCAAATGGATTTTTAATAATATTAATGAGGTATTAGTCTACAGCTATTCAGTTAGACTAGCATTTCAATTTTAGATTTTAATTCAGAAGCTTTTCATTTCCTAGTGCCAGTTAATACATTCCATCTCCAGTTAAAGGCTGTTGCCCCTATTGTGATGGGCCAGTCTGAGTCAGGGACATACTGCACTAGATAGCATCATACCTTAGGCTAAAGGGGGAAAAAAAAAAAAAAAGAGACACATTGTGAAGATTTGAGTCATTGATAGCTTCAGGATAAAAACAGAGCCTCAAGATTTTTTTTTATTACTGCTTTTTTTTTTTTAACTGCTTCTACAATCCATCCCCCATGTTCTGAGAGTATATGTGATCAACTTTGCAGACTTCACTTTTTTTACTCTGGGAAAAATTAAGATTGAATATGTTCTGTTGTCTTGCATTGTAAATGAATAGCTCATGCATAAGTGTATATTTTCCTTTTAAAGGTCAAGTACATACAAATCTCAAGGGATTGATGTCACAGTTAAGTACAGTCAAGGAAGCTGGACTGGAGTGCTGGGTACAGATGTCATTACGATCCCAAAAGGAATCTCTGGCAGCTACACCATCAACATTGCTACCATTCTTGAATCAGAGAATTTCTTCTTACCAGGTGTTAAGTGGCACGGGATTCTTGGTCTTGCCTATGATGCCTTAGCCAAAGTAAGTCACCTTTTCCCCAGCTATTGTCTTCACAATGACAATAAGTAGAAATCCAGCTATTAAAATAAAGAGGGCAGATGATCTGTCAGCATTAGACACCTCCCTTCCACGCACTCTTTTCTATGGGTCCTTTGTGTTTGTTAAGTTCCAGAAAGAATAAACTGGGCTGTGATGGAACCTTGGTCCCATATGAAAATGTAGGCTTTTCTGGTGATGAAGGCTTCAATTTTTAACTCCTCTGGAATGACTAAGCTTTTACAGAGTGTGAAGTACCAGAGGATGGGAGTAAAGGCTTTTGGTATGCATATGGCAGGCATTTGAGTGTTGTGATGATCACCTTCAAGACTTGTCTTGGACTTACTTGGCAAAGCCCTTGGCAGTTCATTCTAAGACATTCTCCACTCATCCAGTAAAAGTAGAGATGGAGGGCATATATGGATAAATTCAGAACAAATGTTAGCTACAGTGTTTTCATGAACATATAACTAAGCACGTCCTGTTCTTATGGAAGCAGGAAATTCAGACTGAAGCTTAAATTAAAAGCTAAAATTTATGGTCTAAAATTTATAACCTTATAATCTAAAACTGAAAACATCATTGGAATATTACATAATCATAGTTTTCAACATACACATAACTGTCTAAAAAACTCACAAACTGAGATATATCCCATTAGAACAAATGACTCAATACTGTCTGCCGACTCTGGAATTAAAAAGCTTTATTCAAGAGTTGTGTGATAATTGTATTGACTTCTGGCATATTTGCTGTCATACACTGTCAACAGACAGAAGAGCTCCTTTTCAAACTCTGGTTTGGGCACATACTGTATTCAGGGCATTTATTTTTCCCTTCTTCCAAAGTCTTGAGTGTTGTTGGCTTCTGCGTCTGTTCTGTGCTTTGTGCAGTAAGAGCACTTGGCACCTCGCAAGCTAACCGGGGTCTCTGCCTGTCATGAGATGTACCTGCGCAGAAATCTGAATTACAATGAAACTGCAGTACTCTAATAACTACAAAGGCAAGCATGACGTGCAGTTGGCCAGTAATCAGTTCAAGTCAGCATGCTCAGATATTAAGTTTTTTAAAAGAAAGAAGATGAAATTAGGGCCCTTGAATTCAGAGTTCATTATAATTAAACTATGTTTAAAAACTGAAAATCCTCACTTCAAAATTCTGCCTTTTAACTGGTGGCAAGGGCAAGTTACATTGACTGTTCTAATAACCCAAAGCCTTTTCCAAACAGAAAGTGTTGGCGAGAGTTTCTGCCTGAAACTGAAACTAGTGTTTGAGTTTGAAAACTGCAATTGGAAAACGCTCTCGTGCTTTAGGGATTTCTATGAGAGCGGTCAAGAGAAAAAATGTTTTTAAAAACAACAGAAATAAATGACAGATGTCATTTTTTTAATGACAACTTATCTAGAATTTTCAGCTCGTGGTTGCCAGAAATTAATTTTATTTGTGAAAAGTAGTCTTGTTTGAATTATTTGCTCATTTCTGCTAAGAAACTTTTTAATTAATACTTTTGCAATTCTTTTGGTTTTTTTTTTTGTTCTGTTTCTCAACACCTTCAAGCCTTCAAGTTCTGTGGAGACGTTCTTTGATTCTCTTGTGAGGCAGGCAAAGATCCCCAACATTTTCTCCTTGCAGATGTGTGGTGCTGGACTCCCCGTTTCTGGAAGTGGTACCAACGGAGGTAGTCTTGTGGGTATCTGTCAATCTGAGAGGGAAGATGTATCTTTGTAAATCTCTCTCCCTCTTTTCTATGACTATCCTACTTCTTCTAAATTTAGTGTTTAAATATATGAAATGTTTTCTATTTTTTAGAGTAAAAGTTAAGCATTTAGGCAGAACTCAAGTGTCCATTTATTTTCATCCTCCATTGTTTTTTATCTCTGAAGTTTGACTAAACTTCTGTATTGCAAGTTTGATTTTAATAAAGAAAAGGAGTAATTGTCGTGGTGCACTTCCTCAACTATTGTCTTTCCTCAGGGCAGATTCTGCTACCTTTCTCAGGCTGAGTAGTCTCTTACTCAGCTACTAAGCTTGTTCAAACTCATCAAAATGCTACAGTACTTTTTTTTCACCTGATATGAAAAGGGGGAGAGGAATCAAGGCTCTTTTCCATTTTTTAGTGGAAACTAAAGGACAAAATCTGAAGATCAGCATCATGTAATCTTGTTATTCTGGGAAGTCTTCCCATCAGTTTAGTGGCGCCAAAAATTGACCTTTATTTATCTGGGATCATGAGTTGCAATGTCTGTTCCTGAATTATGCTGAAACAAGCATATCAGCACAGGAGTTCATCATAAATAGTTATTGTGCTGTAAATTCACATACTGTAGATGGTAACACACTTGAGATAGAAGAAGCCCAAGAGAGAACCTGCATATGTTAGTTCAGTTCAAAATCTGATGGTCTAGGATGCTCCCAGTCAACTTTCTTGATGGAAGCTAATAGCGATAGCAATGACAGGACTGTCATATTCCATTTTGGTGTAAGAAAAATGGTATGTCCTTAAGCACTATTAACGCTTTTCTGATCTGATAGTGTGAATTTATGATATGTAAGTTTAATATTCTGTCTCATTTTTATACATTGCCTAGATTAAACCACTGTTTTGATTTTAAATAGCAGAGCTTTCATAAAAGAATTGCTGTGAGCTTGTAGATGAAGATGCTGGTAATTTGGCTGAATATGGGAGTTCTGCTTCACTGAAACACAATCTACTTAATGTCTAGATGTTTCATACTGCTTCATTATTGACAAAGAATTTGGCAGTAAGATCTTTACAAATGGTGTTAAACTAAAATGTTGATGCCCTGTGTATAACAATTAAATATTCCCCTTTTTCTCTGTATTGCCCCAAAACTAAATGTCCAGGATATTAAAGTATGTGAATTCCTTTCTCCTTTCCTTCAGGTTCTGGGTGGAGTTGAACCAAGTCTGTACAGGGGTGATATTTGGTACACACCGATCAAAGAGGAGTGGTATTACCAGGTTGAAATTCTCAAACTGGAAGTTGGAGGACAGAACCTTGAATTGGACTGCAGAGAGGTATTTGCAATACTGTGTTTCTGTCCATATATGATACGAGTTTTGTTAAAAATGCTTAATTATAAGTTTTCTCTTTGGAAGCAGATGTGTATTGCAGTCTTCTCTGAGAATCAAGGCTGCATGGTAACTGTGAAAAGAAATGAACAAGCCATGTGAAAGGCAGTGTGTACATCAAGCATGCTTAAATTGCTTCAATGGGGACCTTAAAGTAATTGGTAGTGTTTTCAATAAATTAGGGACTAAGCTACAATTGTTAAGTGAGCAGTCCACTGAAAATAAGACTGCTGTGGTTTGGAAAGGCTCAGGCTTTTGACTAGTTTTAGTTCTAATGGAGGTGTCTAAACACCAAAGATGGTGCATTGATTCAAGGAGACAATAGTCTTTAAACAATTGCAGTTTATGGTTTTCTGTTATACAGAAAAGTCAAACCAAAGGATCTGAAAGCAATTCTAGTCAAACAAAGAAAAGGGAAGATTTTGGATTGACCCCTGTAGAGATGTCTAAGCATGTAATTCATGAAGACAGTGGGCAGCTGTCATCCTGGGATGCTTCCCAGAGTACCTCATCCTATGCCTTTTTATTTTTGTAATTCAGTTTTGCTCACTTCAGCCTTGCCAGTTATTATTCATAATGGATGTGTTTTCTGTTTTTATTAGAAGTAATGTTCTGCTATCTCTGGATCAGTCTGATGAGATTGTTGTTGCAATCTTTATTCCAAAGCCGTTTCATTTTTTTTTCTGGCGGGTATGTGTCTATGTGTGTGTTTCATTTGTTTCTTGCTGTTGCTTGTTGCTATTCATGTTTTGTTTTAGTTCTGTAATTTTCATGCCCTGTTTTCTTTGAACATTTTAATTTTATCTTACTCTTGTTCTCTTAGTTGAAAGTCATTGGGACATGATAATTCTAAAGTTTTTATTACTCATACAAATTAAGTGAAATTCATGATAAAAAATCTTGCATGTGCATAAACACTAGATTTCCATACAAAATATGGAAATCATATTGCCACATAAAATATTTAAAAATAACTCACATAATCTTTCAACTTAAGCAAAACAAGAGCTATTTAAATGCCTCTCTCTATTATACTGTTAGAAAAGCAAAACCGCTAGTCCTTGAGCATAATTGTTTGTGTTTGCTTTTCTTTCTTGCCTTAAAAAACAGTCAACATGTGCTTGAAGACGAGCCTTCCTACTAATGGTTTCATACATGCTGTTTCCAGAAAACAGCTCACTTAAAAATCTAGCAGTGTTACGAAAGTTTCCTGTTATTGTTGCTGTTTTCTGAGCCAGAGTTTGTTTTCACATTGTACACGTATTAGCATAGCACGCTAGTCACTGTTACAGAAGGCATCATCTTGATCAAAGGAAAATTTTCCGCAAAAATTTAGGGCAAGAATGGTAAATAAGAGCTCATATGATTAAAGTTTTGCTAGTTAGGGGCTTGCAGAGGATGCATAATTCACTGGATAAGACGATGAACTGTGTGCTCTCTCTCCTCTTAGTTGATTTCTAGGAAATGGAACATTTTCTGTAACTGCCAGCAGTGACTAGTCCTTTCCTTGCCAGGGAAGAAAGAGCAGTCCCCTCGCTCCCGTGCTGGGAATCTGCCCAGTTACACTGCAGCCGTGGCCTTGAGCCTGGCAGAGCAGGGCTGAGAGAAGTACTCAGCTGCCAGCAGTGTTTAGGGTGTGCTCTTAAATATTAACCAGGAAAACTGAGAAGCCAAGAACTTAATGCCCACTGCAAGTACGCTGTACGCAGCATGAAAATTGAGGTGCTTAGTCCCTGGCCGAGTAATGCTGCTACTCCAGGCATTTTGCATTGTTTCTTGTTTTAATCCTCTTGGCTGTGCTTCCTACCTACTTTTTTTCCAAGGGTGGCTCTCCAGGATGCTGTCAGTTGTGTACATGTGGTACAAATCTGTTAAAATAGACTCCACAATGCCTTGATATTTCTCTCCTCTCTTTAGAAGTTTTTCTGGGTGTATATTAAATGGTTTCCTGTTTGCTTTTCTTTCAGCTCTGCTTGGCAGCCTATAGCATCTCTTCTTTCAAAAAGAAAATAACTAAGTCAGAGTTACTTTTTTTTGCTTTTTGGTGGGTTTTATTTTTGTCACTGCACTAAAGATATTCCATGTGACTCGATAACATCTAAACCAATGTATTTTAAATTCACTTTCTGTTTGACCTCTTCCTAAAAAGCTTATGCTGTTTACTACCTTGTGTTGTATGATATGCCATAAACATGTCACTCTTCAGTTATATTGATCCTGCTGCCTGAGCTGGTAACAAAAGTAGTTAATCCAAACAGCTGCCACTGCTACTTGCCTTTTGTTCCCAAAAAAATTAATCACAGTTTTAAGGAGTTCATGAAAAAAAGGTACCTTTTAAAATGTTTATTCTTTGCTTACTGTATCTGAAGTTTGCTGAAATCTCTTAATCTGAAAGGGTTTTAATAATGAAGAGGAATGTTTGCTTAGTTTTTTTAATGCAGATTTTTGAGGCAGCAGGAGTGAAATTTCAAGTTTCTTTGTACTTGTTTTTGCATGTATTTTAGTGATTTTCAGCAGTCAAGAGAGAAAGGTGTGGCATTTGGCATTTGTACTCTTAAGCCAGTACTGAACATGGCATGTAATGAGACCTAATGTTTCCTGACAATTCTTGAGTTAGACACACCAGTCATTAAAAATAGCCTGCTGTGTTGTGTTTAGACTAGGGAGTTGTTTCCATGATAGCAGAGACCTTGATTCAGGGCTTGGGCATACGTGTAAGCTACATTGGCGTGCTTAGCATCTGTCTGTGCTGACTGTGAGAGTACTTTTGCCCACAGCATATGGGAGGTAAAGTGGATTAGCTCACACCTCTGAGAGAGGCCAGGCTTTACTTCTTTTTACAGTGGTTTGGCCATTTGCACCAGCTGTGATGACACAAAGTAATTTTTTGTGTGGTGCAGATCAACTCACTCTTATGTCTAGGCTGACCATGTCTTGCTTTTGCTCTCAGGCGTCATTTAAATTCAAGCTATCAACTGGAGAGAGCTGCTGACAGGTATGACATGCAGGTTTGGGAAGACAGCTACCAAAAAGGAACAGTTTTGTCATTGTGATGGAGGCAGTGGAATCTGCATTACGTACTACAGTGTGTAACTTCTCTTTTCCCCCCTCTACCTAGTATAACGCCGATAAAGCAATAGTAGACAGTGGGACCACACTCCTCCGTCTGCCCCAGAAAGTCTTCAGTGCTGTTGTGCAAGCAATAGCTCGCACCTCCCTGGTAAGCTAATGTCATTAAATCTGCTCAAAATGTTGAATTCCTATTTAATGATCACACGATCTTTGAAAGGAGTGTCATGTTTGCTATCTACCTTGTAAGTCATAGGGTTTTAACCTGAGGGCAAGCACTTACTAACTCCTGTTAATAAGTGAGGAATGACTGGTTTTCTGTCATGAAAATGTAAAAGGGAAAGGAAGAGGTGAAAAGGAAAAGGGAGCAGGGAAAAGGGTGGTCTAAGTGCAGACAAGAAGTGTTTGTATGGAAATGCATCAGAAATAGTGCAGAGGAGGAGTATTTTGTTCTAAGCATTTCAGAAACATGGGCATAATCCCTGTTGCTCTGATTCAAAGTATTGAGTGTAAAAATCAGTTCCTTCATTCAAAATGGAGTGTTTATACAGTAGAACCTGCTACTGCAAGCAGTTCCTTTCCAAGTATAATGCTTATTGTTGTATAGAATGGATGCCGTTCATTAGGATTACTCATTTCAATAAAGCTGCTTTTGATCTTCATTATTGAATTATTTATGTTTAAAAGTGTCTTTCTGTGGAAACAGTGGGCTTTAGAAGCAGGGCATGGGGATGGTGGATTTCTCTGAGCGTAGAGTAACTGAAGTAGTATTTTCTGGTTAATAAAAAATATTCATAAATTTTTATTGAATACCGTGAACAGCGCCAAGAAGGTTAAAGATGAAGAATAAATCCTAGATGTTTCAGTGTGAACAACTTTAATATCTTTGTTATGGATTCACAATCAGACAGCAGTAGTCATTGCAAATCACATGAAATGAAGTAACTGGACTATTGGTCGGCTACCCAAAAGACAAGAGTACATGCCTGATCGAGGGCAGAGATTTGGCGTGAAGTGTTCTTTACTGCCTGCAGGTGTCCGGTACCTGAAGTAAATGTACCAGTTATCTTATGTAGCTCAGCTTCCCTGGTTGAAAAGTTCTTCTCTTTGCAAAGCACTTTAGTATTGACTGGAACAATTCCAGTCGATGAGGGGGGTAAATTGAAAGAAGCCTACCCAAGAGCTCTTGTAATGGTATCTTGTGGATAGAGCATCCTCCTGTGAAGTGGGTCACAGTGGTCCACACTCCTCTATGATGGTGGTCAGGACATTTGAACTACGGCCTTTCACATGACAAGTAAACAATCATCTGATCAATAAGGTATTAAAGGGGAATCGCTCACTCACTCTGCTTAATGGTTTTTGTTCTTCCTATTAAAAATGCATAAACTATTCTCTTTCAGAGTTTCTTTTTAATCTCAATGACCTTGCTGCTGTACCCCTTTCCCTCCACACACACCAAAAATTACTTTCACAGCTCTAAACAAAGGAGATAGTCTATTAAGTAAGAAAGTAGTTACAAGAGGTAAGGATAAGATTCCAGCTGTGTAGGAGCAATGTCAGGAAAATGGGTATTTTCAGCAATTGTACCATGGCATCACAACCGTACTCTTAACACTCTGTGCTTCTGGCAGGCTATGTACTGCTGAAACATAAAATCATCTGCTGTAGTCAGACATGCTTCTCTGACCACAGGTGAACCAGATTAACAAGTCCCTGCTCCTAGCAGCTTGTTATGAGCTTCCCTGTAAGATGTTACTGCCCCCTCAGGTATGCTGGGATAACTGCATGTGAGACATTCCTTTATTCAAAACCAAGGCTGTGAGCTTTATGCTCTTTAGTTGTGCAGATTGTTTTTTTAAAACCTTACTCAGGCTGAAGTCTTTTAGGGAGCAGAGATAGATGCAGTTCGGTGTTGGCAAATCTGAAGAGTGGTGGTTTTGGCAGATGGGCAAAGATGTGCCACAGAGGGGTGGCAGCTACTACACGTCACTGAGCTGAAGTCAGAACAGTATGGCTGCTCCGGGCATTAAAGTAATGCTAAGTTAATAAGTTGGAGAAAGGAAGGCTAAAATAAACCTAAAATCTTTATTTTAATAACCTTTTAGATATAACACAGCCAAATCCCCCAATGCATTTCTTCAGCATACAGAAGTGAGACAAAGAAATGCAATGTAATAAGCAGTCTTTCTGGGAAATGAAGGTAGGGGCTTAAAAACACAGCATTTTATAGACTTCTCAGTCCAGCCTGTGTGCTATCTTGCAGTTTTCCTCAGATCACAAGCTCTGCTTTCCAAGAGAAAATGGAAAGAGAGGAGAACTCTCTTTTTCAGCAGGTCTGGCCTGGGACTTAGCTGTGAGGGGCTGAGCATTCTGTCCCATGCCAAGAAATGTACTTAAGTGTGTGTTGAGAGTTAAGGGCAGTAGTGGTCTGTTTGTGATGGTAAGTCTCATTGTGTGTTTACATGAGTGTACACTTGTTGGCTCAAAAACAGAAATGAGCACCTGGAAGTATTAAATTTCTAATACTGTGCAGCCCTAACAAGTATTTCATTGGCAGGTATGTGGGTGCGTGTGAATACTTGTCACCTGTAAAATGCCATATAACTAATGTATGAGCTAATGTTTACAAACTAATCAATATCACAGATAAATACAAATTAGGGGAGTGGAGAGGCTGCATTGCGTTTTTATTCTTCACCTAAACAGGAGGCTTTGGCCATGCAGTGTCAGAACAAGATGCTGTCTTGGATGTTACTTCATGTGGGAATAAGGACCAGCACAAAGTAATGCACTCAAATAAGGAGAGTTTTTCCTCTGATATGGCAGCAGATCAGCTTCAGGGAGCATCAACATTAGACAAGATGTTTGTCTTAGGCAAACAAGCTCTGTAGGGGTTTGCATTTTGCTTTGTTAGTGCCATAGACATATTAAAGAGGTACTGCTAATCAGTCTTACTTCCAAAAGCATGTCAAGTTGTATGGGTAGTGAGTGACACGGAGGGACGTGTTTCATTCCATTGACTCCAGTAGACCTTGACTCCCTTGGATGCCAGGAGATTTTTGGCTTAGGCCTTGGCTTCAAAACCCTGAAGTTGAGTAAGAAGCTGTAGGTATGTGAGGAAGGGAGGTGACTCCATTACATATTCATGTGGTTTGTATTTTGGTTTATGTTTTTAAAAAAAATGTCTGCTGCTTCAAAGCATTGGTGTTTGGTCAGAGCTGTTCAGAGAAGAGGTAAATGGGTAGTAAAAGCCCGTTGATGCTTTGCCTCTTTGCAGTATGGATTGCTCAGGAAGGTCATAACTTCTCCAAGGTTCATTGCAGAAGTGCAAGTAGTAAGATGCAGATGAGAAGGGAAGGGAGAGCTAAACCTGCTTTTGTCTCTTGCTCCTTCCTCCACGTCAGAATGGGTTATGCTACACCTTGATTTGTGTGCTGGGTTCTTGCTTTGATCCTTAAAGAAAAAGCTCTTTGTCAGACTTCTGGTTATGCTTGAATTTCTCCATGGGAATGGAAGAAGTATTGAATAGCAGTACTGATAATTTACAAAAATCTATCAAAACGTATGTAATCTACATGCATCACTTTTTTTTTTAATAGATACAAGAATTTTCTTCTGGTTTCTGGACTGGTTCACAGCTTGCATGCTGGGATAAAACTGAAAGACCCTGGTCTTTATTTCCCAAACTCTCCATTTACCTGAGGGATGAAAACTCCAGTAGGTCGTTTCGGATCTCTGTCCTACCACAGGTCTCAATCTTATTTGTTTATTCTGTTATGCATTTATTTTCACTATTATGAAGTACATGCTCTTAAAAATAGGAGCTGTTTTTGGCAGTAATAGAGAACTGGTTTATTGCATGCAAGGGAAATGTTTTTAAATGAAATTTTAAAAAATCAAATTTTAAGTAGGGAAAATTGCAAACTAGTCAAACCTAAAACCAAAAAAGGAAAACATAGCTTCTTTCTGAGTGCAGTCCCTGTATTTTGGAATGATCTTTTCAAATTGTCAGGAAAAAGAGGCAAGTTTGTGTTTTGTTTTCATGAGCTTTAGATGTCAATACAGCAGAGTGTCTCTGCTCATTTTGATCTTCTTGTTTTGGGAAGCAAATTGATTTGTTTTTCATGGCATTCTGAGTTGGAGCACTTCTTCTGAATATGACAGTCTTGGCAATGAGCCTATGTGATCTCCACCAGTTTGTGTAACTTGGTTGGTTTATCTTTTATTAATATTCCATCCCAGCTTTCAGAATATAATGTGACACTTTAATTTTTCCCCTGTGGCTTTGTGTAGGTTGCAATACAGGGTAGTATCCTCTAACATTACTAATACGGTCTTTTACCTCAAGGGATGGTCAGGAGCAAAGGGGAGAATGAACCTATTAAGTACATTTTAAACTTGAAATGTAGTATAGCCTTATGATAAGCTTTTTCTGTATTGATCATGTAGCTTGGCAATCTTTCATCTTCCCTGAGGAGACAAGGGGGTAAAATGTGACTTGAATTTATGAATCTAGAGCCTTGAAGTTGCCACTGAATGCTGTCTGAATCAATTCCATCCTGTTAATTTTTTAAATGATAAAATTCTTCTCTAATTCAAGTTCATATCCCAGGTTCTTTCTCAGCCATTCTTCTTTTGTGGAAAATACAATAAAAAGTGGTTCTCATTAATTTGCTGTTGACCTTCACATAGTGACTGACCATGTTCAAATTTAAGCTTAGAATCCAAAAGCGTTACCTCTTACCTGCATGTAAGCTTTGACCAGTTTTAAGTCATGTACAGAAATCTGTTTATGGACTTTGAGTGCTTAAATATAAAAATCAAAAGGTCTGAACTTCTAAGTACTGTGTAGTGTTGCTTCTTACACTCTGGCTTTTTTTTCTTTTTTTTTAAATAGCTTTACATTCAACCAATCCTTGGAATAGGAGAGAATTTACTGTGCTACCGATTTGGCATCTCTTCTTCCACGAATGCTCTAGTTATTGGTGCTACAGTCATGGAGGGTTTCTATGTAATATTTGACAGAGCCCAGAGGAGAGTGGGCTTTGCAGTGAGTCCATGTGCAGGTAAGAGAAATATTGTTCAGGGCTTGGTGAGTGAGGAAACACCTTTGCCACTTATCTGATGGGGAAAAGCGTGATTACTCATGAAGTGTGAAGAGTATATTTTTGAGCAATCCCAAGATACTCAGATTTCAAGGGGAGAGAAAAAAAAAAAAACCTGAATTGCACATAGCAGTCTTTTGGCATGAAGTAAATCAGCCTCAGCTCTGGGTATCTGAGCTGCGTTCTTCCCTCTGAGAGAAGATCTTCTTTCTGAGACATCTGTCTGTGCAGTTTCACCAACAGATACTTGTCCCAGTTTTTAATGCAGCTTCGTTTTCATGTAGTTCCTGTTCTAATTTTCAGATAAATGGATTCTTCAACTAACTTGCTAAGTGCAGTGAAGTGCCTTACTCATGCTTTTCTCTTAACATAAACTGTGCCTCTTCAAGTCTCTCAGAAATACTCAAAGAACGAGCTACAATGAAAATGGAACTCAAATTAAGACTTGTGGTGTTTGTGTTGATTCTAAACAAATAGTTTTTTCAGTGTAAGTAGAAAGCCATTAATTTTTTAATTAGCTGCTGAGAAATTGTGAAAAAACCTCCATAATTTTTGGCTGATTTTACAGAGCTGGTTAACTTCCTTGCTTTTTCATGTTTCCTCTGACCTCACCCCAGGTAGCTAAAAACAAATTTTGGGGTTTCCTCCCCTGATTGATGAGATATTGCTTTGGCACCACAAGAACATACAAATGAGAGAGGAGGGAAAGGATATGCACCCATATGCAAATCTCTGTCCTAAAGAGAAGTGGTCTATGCCCTGCAAAACACTGTATCATGTGAGATTTGCATGAGAAAATGACTGTGACTGACAGTGCTTCTTTAATCTCCAGTATTTATATTAGAGAGGGTAAGGGCAGTAACTACTTGAGTGCTTAATGCAACCAGGTAATTGAGGGGAAAAAAGAGGGATACTAGCTAGCTGAGTTGTAGCTCCAGGCCATTTTAAAAGCCTTTTTTTTTTTAATCTCTCCATTGTTAATGGGTTTGAAATTGTCATCTTTGAGCTTGCTACGAAAGAAAATCTGGGTATTGATGTGGGTTGCTTAATGAAGACCTCTATGAGGTACCATGCAGTGATGAAAGACAGATTTTGAGTGCATCTGAAAGGAGAATGTAACTACACAAATACTGCAGATGAGTTTTTCCTGCCTTTCATTCTTCCTCGTGCTTCCTGACTGCAATTTTAGCAAGCATAGAGCTGCTTCCTGTCCCTGCCATGCTGTAGCCATTAATGGAGAGGGGAGAGGGCATTTTGACAGAACGCATTGACCGATACCTGGTCAGCAGGGGACAGGAGCCAGCTGGTGCTCATAAGAACTGCTTTGACAGCCTATCTTGGAAAAAAAGTCAGGGAACCATAATAACACCTTAATGTTAATATTGCTACATAGAAGCATAGTTTGACCATTCCATGTAGTTCTACCAACCTTGTCTAGGAAGGAATTGAGCTTGCTGAATGGAAATGAAATCTGAATTTACATGAGCTTGGACACATGATGATGCCCAGCTGGTGCTAGAAGGCAATTCCTCCTTGTTTCTTTGTCCATATTTCATGCATATGTCTAACTTAGCATCATGGGAACTTCGCTTCGTGAGGAATCGGCTGACACAAGCCACTGACTGAGACAAGATATACTGATTTGTCAGCCTCCACTCACACGGGGCAGATGACATTTTGCTGGATGTGCCAGTTATTCTGAATTCACTTCTTCACAGCTTGTGGTTTCCATATTTAACACTACTTTCATCAGAAAACCACCACTGTGAGTGGTTAGTAGTCAGTGCAGTGTGAGGGATTAAACTGCCTAACTGGCTTCCTGTGGAGGCCAGGCCTGTCCTCCATAGCAACTATATTAATGTAATTTATTTGGAGCTTTTTAGTCTGTTCGTGGGCATAAATTAAGTTGAATTACTGGTGGGATAAATCTTCAGAAACAGAGAATTATGAAAGACCATTTGGTGTGACTTTACAGTGACCTACGCTTTCTTGTTTACAATAGAATGTTAATACTAAATTTAAGCCCCTGTTTTTATAAGTTGTTAAATGTGTATGTGCCGAATACAAAAATGGTGGGAACAGGACTAAAAGTCTTAACTTCATTGAACTCCCAAGTTTCTATTGAGACTTGGCTGGAGATGAGAACTGGCTTATCCCACAATACTCTTTGCACCATTCTTATTCTCCAGGATGCACCAAGTGTGAGGAGAGTTAGATAGATGGCTGCAGGAAGATATTCCATTGTAACAGAAAAATAAACCTGCTTTTTCCTCAGTAAGTTAAACTTTCTAAGAATTATTCTGCCTGTTACTAATTTCAAATTGTTTCAGGTTGCCTGCTGATAATTTCAGCGATAACCTACTCTTTACAGCATGACTAGAAAAGATTTTTTGGATCAGAACCCTTCTTAAGATGTTCAGATCAACTACTAGTTAGTATTAGTGAAGTAACCTAGTGGTACCTCAGCATTGAGCAGAATTATACCCCTAGTATTTTTGTAGTCAGTGAGAAGATCATGGGCGCAAGATTTGGGTATTTTTTAGGAAAGAAATGCACCAAGCACTATAATCGTAAGTGACATCTACACTAAACTATGATGAGACGGAATGCCTCCAAATTTTTGGGCACTAAACTCTGGAGATTGGATGGCATGATGAACAGCAGAGCTTTAGGCCAGAAGGACCTTGGTAACCTAAAGGACTGGGCAGCAGAAGCCTCAAGAGTTTCAGTGAACAGAAGTGGAAAGTTCTGCACCTCAAGCAAAAAACCACCTTACATGGGTTCAGTCTGGGAAGGGACAGACTGAATAGTAGCCCTGCAGAAGAAGAATTGGGGATTATGGTGGGCCCCAAACTGAATGCAAGCCAAGAGTGAGTGCAAGCGAAACTACATAACAAAGGGCAACATCCCCCAGCTACATTCATGAAGGTTCAAGCTGGACATAAGGAATTTCTTCTTCACCAGGAGGGTAGTGCAGCACTGAAACAGGTTGCACAGAGAGATTGTGGGATCTCTATCCTCAGGGCTTTATGAAATTTGTCTGAATAAAGCTACAGCTGGCCTGATCTATTGATGGTGACAGTGCTGTTTCGAGTAGGAGGCAGGACTAGGTAACTTCCAGTGGTCCCTTCCAAGCAGCACTTTACAATTTTATGATAAATTTTATCTAACTTCAGGTTTGCCTCCTTTCCACACAAGATAGTGAGTGAATGTCATGGTTTAACCCCAGCTGGCAACTAAGCACCACACAGCTGCTTGCTTACCACCCCCAACCCCCTCCCCAGTGGGATGGTGGAGAGAATTAGAAGAGTAAAAGTGAGAAAACTCACAGGTTGAGATAAAGACAGTTTAACAGGTAAAGCAAAAGCCATAACTCTGAATATCTCCCCCTTCCTTCTTCTTACCCCTGGTTTATATTGCTGAGCATGACATCCTATGGTATGAAATACCCCTCTGGTCAGTTGCAGTCAGCTATCCCAGTTGTTTCCCCTCACAGCTTCTTGTGCACCCCCAGTCCCACTCACTGGTGAGGTGGGGTGAGAAGCAGAAAAGGCCTTGACTCTGTGTAAGCGCTGCTCAGCAGTAACGAAAACATCCCCATGTTGTCAGCACTGTTTCCAGTCCAAATCCAAAACATAGCCACATGCAAGCTTACCATGAAGAACATTAACTCTATCCCAGCCAAAACCAGAACAGGGAGTGAGAGGTGCTATTTTTGTTCTGTAATCATCAGTAATGAAGAAAATCCCATTTATTCTAGATCAGGAATTTATGGTAGCATCAGATGTTCCAATGAAAATACACCAAAATATCCTAATTCAAGCTAATGTGTAATATCCTAAATGTGTGTGACTGTTAACGTTAAGAGCTTGTTTGAACAATTTAGGCAAATTTCCCGTCTTTTGATTTCCTCTCAGTTTCCCTGTGGGTGGAAGAGAGTGAGGGAAAACTTTTCTTTTTGGAGGAAAGAAAGCAGAGGCTGTGCTGCTGTCAAGCACTCAAAATGATATTTAAAATGTCAGCCACTATGGCAACAGCTTTGTATTGCCTTTTTTAATAGGAGTAATCACTATACTCTAGCCAAATAATGAGTAATTAGGTGCTGTTTATTTTCAAAGTTTTCTCCAAGGTGGAACATTGTGCTGCCATTTTTTTTCCTGTTTCTTCAAAAGACTAAATTCCGAAGTAGTAATACTTATACCTTGCATTTCACATTAGTATTAAATGTAGCTTAGTTTGGTTTTGCTGCAGGACTTCATAGAGACAGATGAAATGGTGTGAGGGGGTGAGATGTCCAGAAGAAACAATTGCATGGTAGACAAAGTGCAATACTGAGACTCTGAACAAAACAGATTTCTACCACAGACCACCTATTACGTTGTCCAAAAAGTAATTGTGTTTTTTTCTGGTTTTTTGGTGTTTGTTTTTTTTCTGGGTTTCTGGTGGTGGTGTTTTGGTTTTTTTCTGGAAAGGCTAATCTTTCATCGGAAACAAAAACTTTATTAAACAACATATTGTCTGTTTTGCTCAATTACCTTTTGCCATCTTTCAGGCAATTTCATGATTCTGCTAAATCCTTTTCTCTTTGAACATGCTTTCAGGAGTCATGTCTAAGATACGTGTAAATAAGATCCTGTTTTCAAGTAGGCAGGATCGCTTACAATTTGGCAAGAGGGTGTCTGTGTGTAAAATGAACAAGAAATTAAGCAGGAAGGTTAAAACTGAGGCCTTCATAAGAAAGACTCAAATGTGTCTTGAAGTATCTGACTAGAGAAGTGAATGACAGCTGTTTGGAAGACTTGTTAAAATGCACAGATGTACTAAGGGCAGGCTCCTAGTTGCCCCAAGCAAGCTAAAAGGTATCCATCCTTCCCTGACCAGGGACCTGCAGATACGAGATCCTCTGAATATTTTGTTGCCCTAGGCAACTCACTTGCTCTGCCTTTACAATACGTGTAGCCCTGTCCACAACTTGGGAACTTTTCAGCGCTTGCCATGGTTACTGTGACAACCATGGGCAGAGTAACCCTTTATAGCAAATACTGGTTTAACAAGCAGGGGTTTGTGATGGTAATGAAGCAAGTCACACAGTCTGTAATGTTACCCACACGGATGGCTCTTCAAAAACAGAGCTGCCACAGCACCCCTTCATTCTTCTTGCTTTAGCTTTGTTATCTGCATTTTTCAAACTGCTTGGTTAGCTTCTCCCTCCCTACCCAACAACACTGCTCCTTCAGGTTCCAACTCCTCACTCAAGACATTGACCTTCCTCTGCACCATTCCCCTTTTCTGCACAGCTGTCAACCAGTTCTCCTGCCTCAGCTCCTCTTCTTTCTGAATTTTCATCTCCACTCACAAGAGTATCTGTGCTGCTTTCCGCCCTGTACCTTGTGCTTAGGATAAAGTCCTTTAAGGTATCTATGAAGCTAATGGTCCTCCATGCTGCTCCCTAAGACCCTGGAAGATAGCAAACACAGAAGATGTAAGGATCATCTGAGGTACTCTTCCAGTTGTTGCAAATGCCAGGAACAAACAAAAACTGCCCAGACCCTGACCTACTCCAATGTAGGTATTGTAGGATTTTTAAGCTTTGTTAAATTGCCATTTCTGAAAGGTTAGTCCAGAGAGAAAAGGTGATCCAGTGGCTTGTGCTTTAGCTTAGGCTGTGGCAGAACTGATTTAAATTCTGCTCTCTCGTTGACAGTCTGTGTAGATGTGGGAGTATCACGGCCTCCTTATGCTTCAAATTCCCATTTTATAAACGTGGAATACTAGTATTTTTACTGCAATGAGAAATGCAATAAAACATTAGTATGCTGACATGTATGACAATGGAGGGAAAGGGATATGTAGGTATCCAGCTAGATCTTTTGTTACGTGCTTTTAAATGGTTTCTATAGACTTAATGTTTTTCTTTTTTATAATTTCTCAGAAGTTGATGGCTCTCCAGTATCCGAGATTGAAGGCCCTTTCACAACAGCAGATGTTGCAAGCAACTGTGTTTCTAGCGTTTCTTTCCATGAACCAGTGTTGTGGATTGCCTCCTATGCTCTCATGAGCCTGTGTGGAATTATCCTCCTTGTACTGATCATCCTGCTGCTTATTCCACCACGGTGTCAGCATCGCTACACTGACAATGACGTAGTCAATGACGAATCCTCCTTAGTGCGTCATCGATGGAAATGAGAAACTTGATCCTGAAACCTGGGACTTAGAATGAAGAACAAAGTACTTTGCCAAGGGGAAGAAGCCAATGCCTCAGTCCTTTCTACGTTCATTACAAATTGCTGTTGGAATCCTACCAAACACCCTGCATCGTAACTTTTTAAGCTTTATTTTCTAACACTGATTTTGAACCAAAGCACTGTTAACCACCTCGTAAGTGCTATGGTACTGGATTTGCTACTGCAGTACAATGAGCCTTTATGCTCTCAATAGTACCTTCTTTTAAAAGAAAAAAAAAAAAAAGGAAAAAACCACACCATGATGTTCTTCCATTGTCTGAACAAAGTTGTCCATCCCTCTTTCACAAAAAAAGGAGCTGTCAGTATTTTCTAACTAATCAAACTCTGACTGTAGAAAAGAAAACAAAAAAAACTTACTAATCTTTCTTACTAATTGCATTAAATGAATACTGCTTTCTGTTTACATCAGTTCATTTTGAAACTGTGCTTATAGTGCAGGGGAGGGAGAATGGTCAGACTTAAGCAGCAGAGAAATCCAAGTGAGGTCAAGAAGAAATGTTGGTTGGTGGGTTTTTTTTCCTCAAGATCACTGCTGCCACTTGAGAGGGTCGCCCTTCCTGAGTGTCATTACAAAATGGTTTGAGGAAGTGAAAACTAGGAAACAAACTTGTTCAGCCTTAGTGTAAAACAAGACTACCTCTCTTAACTTACAAGGATGCTACCACTGGTAAGCGTGTGGCTTAGAACTGGTCTTGAAGCACAAGACGCTCCATACAACCAAATGCAACTCCTTGGCTTCTAAGTAGTGGATTTTATAAAAATTAATACTTAATGACTTTCAACTTTGGTGCACAAAAATAGCCTTTTAGTTTTCGCCCTAATGTGGGGCTTTGTGAAGTTTGTTGGTTTTTTTGAGTTGAGGATGACTGATATTTAGAAAAAGCTGGTAAAGCTAAGATCCGTGTTCTGCCATCTCTTTTGGTATTTCTAGTGAGCATGTAATAAAAAGGAAACAACAAAATGAGAAGGATATTCCCCCCCTTTTTTTTTTTTCTTCTTCTTCTGAGCTCAGCAACCTAGAAGTTCAAGAGAAAAGAATCTGTCTTCATGGACAGGCTGTGAAGTTAAAGTCTTAATGCTGGCTTTTTTTTATCCCAACATGAACAGCAGTTGGAGGTGTTTAGTTTAGCTTCAGTGGTGTGTCAACCAAATGAAAAGCGTGTGTACTGACCGGCTGAAAATAAACATGTGGTAAGACTGAAAACAATAGTGGAAGAGAGCAGGGAAGGATATATTTGACCGGACCTCCATTGTGCTAGCGTACATCTTAATGCTGAGGTCAGAACATGGTATTTTCTTTGCAGATAGGACAATTATTTCTTGTATCTAGTCAGTGGGCGTTGCAGAACCTTCATCACTTTTCTGTAACCCTGGCACAGTGGGTTTGAAAGATAAACAATGCAAGGTTGAGGAGTCTGGTGATAACTATGAGTTATCTGATGGTGGTTTGGGGTTTTTTTTAAAGGAAAAAAAATTCCTTTGCATTTCAGTAGCAGAGCAGTTTGCATATCTCTGTGGGAAACGAGGAAAATAGAAAGGAAGCTTAGCTCTGAATCACCCAATCCCTTGCCTAGAAAATTCTCTGCCTCTAATCTCTGCATATAGCTTTCTGATTCACACTGCCTCTGCATCCAGCTCTGCATGGAATAAGCAAAGATTTCTTTTTTGGGGGAGGGAATGGTGCTTTTACAGAGGCGCACGTAATGTGTGTGAAAATAAAGCACTGTGGTTTTTTAAACTAATTTGTGTATTTCACTTCATAACTGGAATTGCCTTTCTTTCCTTTTTAATTCTTGCACTTTCAGATTGTTTGGCTGAATACAGTAAAATAATTAGTGTTGTGATCCCAGATCTGAAAATTGTTTCTCTTGGAATTAGGAGTTGGAAATAGGAGGAAATTTAGAGTTTGACACCTTCTTCCTCTGCCTCTTAGTTTTTAATGGGAGAAAAATGACAAATTATATGGAATGTAAGAAACTACAGAGCTTAGGTGTTTTCTCCCCATTCTATTTTCATTACATCTCTCAATGTCTTACAATTAGAATTTTTAGTACATGCTACAACAAGAAGTCATCCCCTTGAGTTTTTCTTAAAGCAATAGACTGCTCTGA